CTGTGTCTTTTTTTTTTTGAGTTGGAGTCTCACTCTGAGGCCCAGACTGGAGTGCAGTGGCCGCTCCCAGCCACTGCAGCCTCGACCTGCTGGGCTCCGGCGATCCTTCCACCTCAGCCTTCCAAGTAGCCAGAATTACAGGCATGAGCTACCATGCCCGGCTGATTTTTTTTTATTTATTGTAGAGGTGAGGTCTCACTGCCCAAGCAGGTCTCGAACCCACGGGCTCAGGCAATCCACTCACCTCAGCCTCCCAAAGGCATGGGATTACAGGCTGAGCCACCGAGCAGTCCAGTGTCTTCTGTGTCTTAATGGTTGGCTCTATCCTAGGCCAGGTTCTCTCCATCTCAACTCTATTCACATTTTGGACCCAGGAATTCTCTGTAACTGGGCTGTCCTGCAAACCATGGAATGTTCAGCAGTATCCTTAGCCTCAACCCACTAGATGCCAGGAGCATTCTCTGTCCACAGTTGTGACAACCAAAAATGGCTCCAGACACTGGAAATGTCTCATAGTGGGGCAAAATCGCCCTCTGTTAAAACCACTGTCTGAAGAAGACATGCCTCGTGTTTTTAGTCACTGCCCACAGGCAGATATTCTCTTGTCCTATTTCTCTGGAATGCATTGTTTCCTCTGAAGAAAAATGCAGACTGTGCCCAGAGAGTGCAGCCAAGCAGCTGCTGTCCCCTGGGCCCCAGGAGCCATGACAAGCACTCTGCAGGAATTGCATGACTTGCTCATCACAATAATCTATGATCAAGAACTATCATCATCTGATGTTATAAGTCAGGAAACTGAGGTTGAACCAAGCTACAACCTTGCCCCATGCCTCAGGACAGCGAACAGTGATGGCCCTTTGGCCTACACACTTGGCAGAGGCCTGAGACTTCAAGAAGGTAGACCTCAACCCTGCATCCCTAGATCGCACTAGGACTACCCTAAACATGAGCATGGAAACTGTGTCTGTAAGTGTGTGCTCATCACAGGGAGAGTAGCAAGTCCAGGTGTGCACATGTTTCTGAGAGCCCATAAAGAACTGGCATGAGGTAAGTAAACTTCACAATTCTACTAGAACTTGCAGAAGAGCCGGGCTGTCTTCAGTCATTCAAAAAGCAAATGAAGTGAAATGCTGCAAATCCCAATTGTGTATGGGTAATCTCATCTCCTATCACACCTTATTTGAACTAATATCATTTCATATCAAATGCATTCGTATCAAGATTCTGGAACCCTTGCAGGTACTGCATAAATGTACACCACCAGGGAGCTTTTTTTTGTAGGGGGGGTGGAATCTCACTCCGTCGCCCAGGCTGGAGTGCAGTGGCACACTCATGGCTACCCCAGTGTCCACCCGCTGGGCTCAGGCGATCCTTCCACTTCAGTCTTCCAAGTAGCCAGATCTACAGGGGTGCATTGCCACGCCCGGCTAATTTTTTATTTATTGTAGAGATGAGTTCTCACCAAATTGCCCAGCGTTGGTCTTGAACCCGCAAGGAGCATTTAAAGGGGCTTGTCCTGGGAAATCTAAGACGAGGGAGAAGGAAGAAGGATTTATTCTATAAGAATGGGTAGATCTTTCAAAGCATTTAGCCCATCTGAAACCATCTCCCCTGAAGGACTAAAGTCTCAGTGACATATGTCCACGCAGAGGCACCCCAGGCGTTTAGGAGCGAAAGTCTGCACCTCCAGGAGGGAGTTTTGAGAACCTTTCCTGCTCTCCCCATTGATCAGCCCATGGGTGCAGATTTACACCTCCCCACATTTGCCCTGAGTTCTGAGAGATCTGGATTTAGCCCAAAAGAGAAGTCTCCCAGACCCATTGTTTATAGCCAGTGTCCTTGGAGTAAAAGCCCAATAAGGCAGAATGTCCATATTCCTAATAAGATAGACCATGCCCCAGAGCTGCTGCTTCCTGGAGAGACCCAGAAACAACCAGCTGTGAGAGATTTAAAATTCCTTGCTGCTCTGCCAGATCTGAACACAAATGTCAGAGGGGTCTCATCCCAGGTTACTGTGAGACCCCTGGAAGGACAAAAAGCCATCAACCAGTAGATAGATTTTATTCCTTTGTGTCCAGAGGATTTTGCATCTGGCATTTTGAGTGGCATTATTTTTCTTCTTCACTTGCAGGGAAACCGGGGTGTGATGAAAGTTAGTGGCTCATACACTGAACCAGATAGAAAGCATTTAAAACGGAATCATCAGCAGACTGCCATCAGGGCTGCTGGGTGTGGCCTACCACTGCCCACAGCCCACTGCCTGCCATGCCTTTGGCATTTTACCCACAATACAAAGAGCAGAGTGTTAGAAGGAGCTAGTGGAGAGGAAAGATCTCTCCCCTCTCTGGAGTGGGAGGAGGCTCTAGGAAGTGCCATCAAGGAAGCAAAAGCTGCTTTTTCCCCCAACTCTGAGGTCCCACTGAATTACCGGGGCTCCAGATATCTTTCCTGGGGTCCAAATTCCGTGGCACTAACAGCTTCCATGCCACATCAGGAGGCTAGTGCCTTGAAGATCTATCTAGAGAAAAGGACGCCCAAAAGAATGACCCTTGAATGGCAGCATTTCAGGTTCCTGGAAGCTTCTGGTCCTTGGGTTCATGAAAGACCAGGGGTCTTCTGCCTATCTCTTCTACCTCTAAACCCCAATCCATATCTAAACCTGGTCTGAGACTCCTTCTGTCTCCTCTGGTCCACATCTGTAGGGTGGGACAGAATTTATTTTTCAGTTTTACCTGATGACTCCTCTCCCCCTGCCAGGTAGTCTGTATTCCTTGGCCCGGGCCTCTGATATTCTACATTGTTCCAGGAAAGGGTGTTGCAGCCAAAATCCAAGGAAAGGCTTCTGAGTCCAGATAATTAGGGATAAGTCAGCAAGTCTCTGAGACCCAGGCAGGACAAAGAAGAGGATTTCTAGAAGGGACAGAGAGAGCATAATCACTGGAGCATCCCTGAGATGGAGCCTGCACCATACAGACAGCAAAACCCAGGGATGTCTGAGGGGTCTGAGACAGCAGGTCACAGTGCTCTGGGTCCCGTGAGGAGAGGGAAAATTCCCTGCAGAGCAAGGGTGCCACCTGGGGAGTTCATATCCTGTTCAGTGTCACCCTCCCTTCCTTCTCCCTTTCAGCAGTGTGGGAGGACACCCCTGGGGGATTGCTCGAGCTACAGAGTAGCAGGAAAGCAGAGAAAGGCCTGGGCCAGGCTTGGGTCCAGTGAGGCAAAAAAATAGGGTGACAAAGGAGACCTGCATAAGGACCAGACAGGCAGTAGACATCTCAGATGTCTGTGTGGACAGATGATCATCAAGGACTCCCACACACCTCAGCACTATTAATCCTCTAGAACTTTTCCTGAAATTCTAGGGCAAAGGGTCTCTGAATTGACTGAGATGGGACCTCAAAATAAGAATTAAGATGAATTCTTTTTAACTGTTATGTCTATTCCACAGCTGAGCATATAGACTGTGATTTATGCCCCCACCTTGAATTTACCACTTGAAGAATGTCTCTGTCTGAACTTGAACCACTAGAAGACCCTGACAATATGTGCGATCCATTCTCAGCATCAAGGAACACACATTTTGGTCATAATGTTGCTATCGTGCTCTTATTTTTCCCTCATCTTGGAATCTCTGCCTGTTGTTAGCTTTGCCTATTGCTATGCTATTATCCCACTATTAACATTACTCTTTTTTTTTTTTTTGAGTTGGAGTTTTCCTCTTGTCGCCCAGGTTGGAATACAGTGGCATACTCATGGCCACCACAGCCTTGACCTGCTGGGCTTAGACTATCCTTCCACCTCAGCCTTCCAAGTAGCAGGAACTACAGAAGCATACCACCGCACCCGGCTAGTTTTTGTGATTTATTGTAGAGACGAGGTCTCACCAAGTTGTCCAGGCTGATCTCGAACTCCAGACTCAGGCAATTCTCTCACCTTGACCTCCCAAAGTGCTGGGATTACAGGCTGAGCCACCACGCCCGGCCAACATTACTCTTATCCGACTAGAATTATCTTTGGAATAAGACGACCAGTTGTCTATGCACCTGAAGATGTGTATATGTATCAAAAAGATGTTTCAAGTAAGTTATAACCCTGGCCTCAAAGCTCCAGGCCATGAAGCCTTTTGCAGGAAACAGGAGCTCTCTGGCCAACTTGGTCTATGGGCCCTGGGAGCCGGTAGGGCTGCCTGCCATGAGACTGTGGGCACGTCAACGTGCACAGGGTGCTTTCCTACACCATAGCAGGTCCCTAGTTCACAGGTGAGACTGCAGCGTTCGATCTGAGCCCTCCCTTGTGTTGGAAACAGCTCTCTGTGCAGCTCAGACACAGCAGTTGTGGAGATAGTAGGGGTGGTGCTGGGAGCCTGGCCCTTCTCTGAGCTTCTGCCCGGAAGACCTGCCTATTGAAGTCTCCGCCATTCTTGTGGTCCCAGGTAGAGCTGGTGAGGACCCAGCAGGAATCAGCCATCCTGAGAGCACATTTTTGAACTACTAGTAAGGACATACAAGCCAGGAATTTGCTTATTGCTTGACCTCGAGAAGGTAATCTATAGGTATAGTTTAAATGATAAGTTTGAATAGGAAATATTGCTCCCAGAGGAGTTTGCCTTGGCAGAGAAGGCTTAAGTGACATGTGGCCCTGGAAGCACAGAGGTGGTACAGATGAGGACATGAGTCTTGGATCCTAAAATCAACCAGGACAGTGAGCAGCACCTTTTCAATGCCAGCTTTCTCTCAACAGCCATCTAGCTGCATCCTAGCAACCATCCGTCGCACCAAACACGTTATTACCTGGAAAATTTTTTCTAAAAATCCAAAGTGCGCAAATGTTTTTCTTTTTGTATCATTTCATCCAGGTTAACCCTTTGGATTTTGGTTAATGATAGCATTCTTTTTCTAAACATATTATTAGGTTGGCCTGTATATGCCATATCTATCCACTGATCATTATCATACATGCTGCCTAAATACCAAAACACACCTTTAAAATTGAGACTCAAATGCATTTTTAGGAAAAAAAAATCTTTATTAAAAAAAATAACTTACAAATTGACAGAACTTTCTGAAATCCGACTGTTCGTTTTGTGCACAGATTTGCAGTCTAGAACAGTTGTTTGTTGTTGTTTTTTTTATTGTCACTTTACAATACTATTAATGTCACAAACTGCATTAAAGAGCAGTTTGTGTTCCATATCCCGTGCTGGTACAAAACACCACACAGATATAAAACTATAGTAAATAAAACATTTCAGCCAAGACTGGCATATATTTATATATATATATATATATATATATATATATATAAAATTTCAAAACAGCTAACAATTAATGTCATCCTTAGTCAAAACTGGAGTCAAACTACTCTTAAAACTACAACACTCTGAATATATGTCAGCACTATACCTCCCATACAATATTTAAAATATATTTCACTTTCAAATACATTTATAAGGTACATCAATAGTGAGAAAATAAAGTCTCAAAATTTAAATACAAATCATATAAAAAAATTCAGGAAACACAGATAAAATCCTATTTTTACAGAAGTCCAGGCAAACCTGCCCTGAAACTGGCTTTAACACACAGCACGGCTGCACGACATGGCTCTGCCTGTTGCAAAACTGCCGGAACACACAGCCAAGTGACAGCTGCATCGGCAAGAGAAAGAGAGGAAGGTTGCACAATGAACACACCCTCTCCTACTCAGGCTACTCGAGCATCAAGAACCGAAGCTACCTTGCTTTAACTCTAGAAAATCATGCAGCCCAATGCCTTGCTCAAAACAAGTACCCATGTCCCAGAGCCTATGCAGAACAGATCATTTGGTGTTTTGCTCCAAAGCAGAGTACTCCGTTTCTGAGACTCTGGAGGCATCGATGAGCTTGGTGAGGCCTGTTTTGGCCGAGTACTTAAAGATGAAGGCCTTCATCAGCTCGTACCTGTAGTTGCGATTGATAAAGCTGTAGAGTACAGGGTTGACGCAGCAGTGCACCAGAGACAGGCACTGCGTGACGTGCAGGGCTGTGAAGAGGGCATACTCCAGCTGGCAGGTGAAAGGGATGTAGTGCAGAATGGAGAAAATGTCCAGCAGCACCGCGACATGGTAGGGGAGCCAGCAGACGAGGAAGACTATCACATAGGAGAAGATGATCTTCCGGCTGCTGTGCTTCTCCTGGTCACCAGACGCTGAGATGGCTCTGGCCAGCAGGAAGTAGAAGACAGCGATGATGGAGAAAGGAACAGCAAAGCCCAAGATGACAGAAACCAGCTCCATGCCAATCAGCCACTCCTTGATGCTGTGCTCAGGGTAGAAAGACCGGCAGTAGGTCTCGTTGTTAGATGCAGACGTGACGGTCTTCAGGTAGTAGGTGTCGGGCAGGGACACGCAGAAGGCCAGCAGCCACACCAGGACGCAGACAACACGGCGTACCATCTTCTTCTTGCTGCTCGAGGTGTTGGTAAAGTAGGTGATGGAGAGATAGCGGTCCACACTCATGCACGTGAGGAAGAAGATGCTGCCGAAGAGGTTGATGGAGAAGATGAGGTGCGTGACCTTGCACGTGAGCTCACCCATGGGCCACTGGTTATGCTGCACAAGGCTGACCACCCAGACAGGGATGGTGATGACAACCCACAGGTCGGCGATGGCCAGGTTCAAGATGTAGCAGTGTGTGTCATAGCCTGTGGTCTTGGCTTGGATGTTCACCCAGACCACCACAGAGTTGGCGATCATGCCGATGACAAAGATGAAAATGTAGATGAAGGAGAGCGTGTAGAGCAGGATGCTTTTGTTGGGCATGTTGGGGCACATCACTGTGTCAACCACAATGCAATCGCTGCTGTTGCATGACCAGGTGATGTCGGAGAAGTTCCCTGGTTCCGAGTAGTCAAAGAGATGCAAATCCATGGTTTCAATGGGAGTGATCAAACAACCTACAGGAAAAACCAAACAAAAAGGATGGAAGAGAAAAATCGCTTCGTTAGGAAAAACTCAAGTGTCAGGCAAAACGTGTTTCCAGCACCCTGGTAGAACTTCCAGGAGGATCAAGGACAATATTCAGTGGATCAGTGCCAGGTGACTATGCTAATGGTATCGATAGGCTCAGCTGTTTTGCTTTGGCTTAGTCACATCCTTGCAAAGAAAGGAGAAAAGAAAGCAACTGTATAGACCCTCAACACAAAATAAAGCTTCTCCAGCATCAAAATCCATGTGGTGCTCCACGGAAGACACAGTGTTTGCTTTCTCTATCTTTCCATGGCTGTGTTCTCAAGACACGTCAGCCTGGCTGTGCTCAGGGTGTGAAATCAACACAGAACAGGGGCCAAAGAAACGTCAGGCAGCTGAACCCCAGCCACGGCAACGCTGATGGCCTGCATGCTCTCAGTAGGGGAACGTGGAGCCATTTTTATCCACATCCCCAAAGAATGTCAGGGTTGATCTGTTCTGGCACAGTTGTATTATAAGTGTCCTGCTTCAGTGTCTTAAAGAAAGCGTTTCAAATTCCCTCCCAAATTTGCATTTAAAACATGACTCAGCATTTTTTACCTTTCTGCTAAATTCAAACGTAAACCTGGGTCCCAGGGCCTTTATTGTAGTCATGAAGACCTCCCAAAACATGGCAAGCGTGTGTGGACAGCCCTGGAGATTGACTGCTCCCCAAACCTGCAAACTCTGGGGTTTGTCTGTGGTTTTCAACAAAGGACAATCAACCAGCTGCCACAGGCTCTGGGCCACCACCTAGTTTTCCATTCAGTTATTTGTTCAACTGCTTCCAAGACCCAGAGCACAAAAATCACCACCTGCTGCATTTTTGGAAAGCTGACGATTTTCTCAATTGTTTTCCCTTCTAACCTGACATGAGGCCAGCACTCCGAACTGTCACCATTTAACACCCAGTGAGAATTCAGTCACAAGGTACTGCTGTATCTGGAGGTGATTTCTCCACAGACAGACCGACTATGAGAGCTGCCAGGGGCTGTCTTCTCCTGTTGATCTGTCCACTTGAAGGCCCTGACATCCCTCCAGGCCACAGTCCTGGGATAGCAGGAAGCCCCACCTGAACCTGACTGCATAGACTGGGGGGATGTAAAATCTAAAAATTAGCCCAAGGATGCACTGCTGACAGTTACATAGTTAAGTGGTTGTTCTTCCACCTGTCACCCTAGAGTCAAGCTTATTTGCAAAGTTCATTTAAAGTGGATTCCGGGTTACGTATGAGAACTTCCTAGAAAATCAAGCACAACGGTCAGTGCCCAGGTGGCTATGCTAATGGCATGAGAAGGCACAGCTGGAATAGCACCCACTCCGAGATCACATTCCTAGGTTGGAATTCTGGCTCCTCTGCTCATTGGAGTTTAACTTGAGATTAGTTAACCTATCTGTGTCTGCCTCCCCAGATCAGCAGCAACTATCTTACAGATACCTTAAGAATAAAGAGCCTAATAAGAAGACACAGCCTGGCACATAGCAAACGCTCAATACAACTTCAGTTCTTTCTCCTTCCCTGACCAGGAAGAAAGTACCCTGGGGATTCTCCAGCCCAAAGTTAGCGGTATTTTCCCCTTTAGCACAAAAGCGGAACTTCGCTTAATTCTTTCCCATATTGGAAACCGGCTCTTACTAGCTAAGTAATAAATATCCTCCATGGAGGGGGATTCACAAACTCACACAAAGATCAGATTGAATGGCTTCTCCTTTGGGACAATATGAACAGAATCCCTGAAAAGTGAGAAATTCTGCTGCCTCCAGGATCCTCTCTGCAGCCTCAAAACTCCCAGTGGGTGATCTTGACCTACTCCAGATCCCACTGTCTGCAGGCTTCTGGGTCATTCCCCTCTGTGGGATGTTAATGGCCGTGGATTCATCTCCTGGTGACTGAACTGGGCCTCAGTCTCCTCCACTGCCGATGGAGAGGCCTGAGCCTCCTGAGAAGGCCACATCCCCCCAAACTCCCCACTCTGAAAGCCCTCCATAGTGGAGCCGCTGGCTGTGCAGTTGAGCAGGCTGGCTGCCCTCAGAGCCACTCCACCGGGAGGACTCAAGTCTTGTGACTACTGACTTGTTCCAAGACCTGATGCACAAACTCAGGAGTGCATCCATGGAGATGAGTAAGATTAAGTTGAAGACAAGTAGACTCAGATCAAGAACCTTTGGCATGCCCTGTCTTAAGACATAGCTCTAGAGCCAATCAGACATGGGCCCACCAGAGCAGCCAAGGATGCCCTGGAGAAGTTGGAGCCTCCCTGATCTGCCAGACTGGCCTCGAGGCAGACAGCCAGCTCCAGACTGAGCCTTGAAGCTATTATTGCCACCTCCCTTTGGCTACTAAAGAACCTGGTGCTGACCCTCCCCTCTGTATCCATGATTCCAGGAGAGCACAAATCAAGGATCTTACCTTTGCTCTCTGCACAGCTCTAAATGCATGACCTTTTCTCCCATTCCTCATTTCCTTAAAATGAAACACATTCTCAGCATGGTTTGGTTTATAAAACACTCTCACCCTATGATCTCCTCTGACCCCAGATTCCCTGGGAAGAAGGGGAGCCAGAATGGAGGAGAGGCCACAACCCTGCAGCCTGGCAACATCTGAGGTAGTATCAGGGACAGTGGCGAGTCCCAGAGGGCAGCTCAGCTGGCTCCTGGCTCGGGTTCCTTCCTCTGTCCCCACTGGCACAGCCAACAACCTTGCCAGAAACTGCCATAAATCCCGAGGTTTGGGTCACTCACAAGGGCTGGAAAGAAAGAGACGACCCTCAGCCTTTGTTAGCCGAAACTTGGATCCTGAACGTGCATGGAAACATTACTCTGGCTTGGGCCTCACTTGCCCTCCAGTGTAGACACGTCAGGTGTCAGCCCACTGGGCGCCTGGACGTTGTTCAGCATGAACAGGCCCTGCAGGGGCAGGATCACAAAATGAGAAGACACCCAGCTCTCCTGTTTCTGGTGTACAACTTCCAGGTCCCCCACTCTTCCCGTAAAACAGACCCTCTGACACCCACATGCTTTCTCAGAGCCCAGACCAGTGGTGGGAAATGGAAAGGGCTTAGGGACCCCCAGTCAGTCCTTTGATTTCTACCTCTGCCCTCTGGGCAAATAAAATTTGATTTAGGGATCACTGATCCTCTGAGTCCAAAGAATTTCTGAGATAGGCACACTTCAGCACTCATCTGCCATCCTCTCCTTCTCTCTCCAGGGGTTGCCCAATGGGAATCTTTCAGAAAAGTCACAGCTGTTACTTCCCAAGGGTAGAACGAGAGAGCAGAGGCTGGGGAGCATCTAGCTGGCCCTGCCAATCACTGATCACCAATCATCAATCACTGACCCCTTAGCATCACTCACTGATCACCAGTCAACCCAGGGAACAGGCAGCATACACTAAGACTATCAGGAGGTGAATCCAGAGGCCTTCATCTAGGGGGCCTGAATGGGCCCCTCCTTCCCATTGCAGAAGGCTCCCATGGTCAGATGAAGGAAGCACAGAAAGGAGATTAAGCAGACAGTGCAGTAATCAAATCTTCACAAATTTAAATGGGGAGCTAAAGAAAACAAACAAACCAAAAAAACCAAAAACCACCATACAATTGCTTAGCCTTTTGTCATTTCGGTATTTTTCACACATTAGGTTTCGGAAACAAACAAGGGCTGTTTCCAGAGAAGAGATTATTATTTGACAAAGACAATCCCCTTATTCAAAATAGGGAACTGCCATGTAATATGGAATGTGGGCTGCAACAAAGGGTCTGGCTGCCCCAGCTTGTGTGTGGGATGTCTGAGCCCGGCAGGGCCTACTTTCACTTCATGCTATTCACTGATGTACGTGTCAGCTGCTGAGTTAAATTACCTGCTTGGATCTTAACAAGTGACCCCTCATAGTCCCTGATATGAACAAAAGTTTCATGGGGCAGACTATGTCTATCCAGGGCCCATGGTTCCCCAAGGCCTGGAGACAAAGCTCCCCGCAAAATCTGAGTGGAGAGAAGGAGGGCAGGGGGAGGCTCAAGTGCCCTGCACAGGAATCTCAGCTCCCCTCAAGCAAAAGCAGGGGATTACCTCATCCAGTACAGAAGAGCTGATTGCATTCCACACAAATCTGGATGGGCAGGCCCCAGGATCCTTGTATACAGACTTAATGCCTTCTAGGGGGTACACGGGTCTGTTGATGCTGGCAGTCAGAGACTGCTGAGAACCAGTCACCCTCTGCTGGAATAAACCAGCAATTCCACTTCCGCTTGAGGCCAGGGTTTAAGAGAAGTTTTGGGGTGTTAATTAACCTGTCCACTGCCTGCCTCTCTATGGGCTCAGTGCCCACGCCAGGGCAGGCATGGAGATGAGACTCATTTCTGACACTTGGGTTTTAAGGCTCTTGTGTGGAAGATTCCAGATGGAAGACAAAGGGGGCTCAGAATAAAAGAGGTTTCCAGTTCTATCCTCTCACAAGTTCACTTATTTCTCTTCATGAAATATTCATATGTCCCCAAATGAAGTGCAAGATGTTTACTAAAGTCGTATTTATTTACTAGCAAAATGGGAGACAACATAAACATCCATCATCTGAGGTATGATTCAATAAAGGATGGTGTATCCATTGTCTGGAACATCATATAGCTGTAAAGAGAGGGAGACCCATTTTTACCAACACGGAAAGTTATGGCATACTGTTAAGTGAAAGTGTACAGATGCACACACATACACAAACACACACATACCCCATAAACCCACCTGTGCAGGAAAAAAGCCAACATTATGTGTATTTTTACATGTAAACATAATGTGCGTAAAGGCACAGGAAAAGATCTGAAGCATAAAATTTGGGGCAGGGAACAAACAAGGGAACAAAGGAAGAACTGCAGTTTTTACTCCAGAAATTTCTGTATTATCTGAAATTTGACATCAAGAATTATGTAAATTTTAATAGAGGGAGGAATGATCCACAGAACAAT